TACAAGGAAAATATTATATTATGTTATCTATTCACAAACTATCATTTACACTGTGTAGATTATATTTACAATTATGCAACATACGTTTAGGCTCTTCTTGTTTTATTTTCTTAGCTGGAGTTGGTTGATCATCGTCACTACTTTCGCTAGTATCTGACTGTCGTACAGGTTTAGGTGTTCCAACTGCATCTGGTGGCGTAGATGTCATTTTGTCCACCTCTTGACGGCCAATAAGATCATCTGGTCTTTCCCAAACAGAAATTCTTGATGAAGGATTGTAAAAAAAGACTCGTCCATCGCCAGTCCATACGACACACCTAAACAGATAAATACATAATAATACTAAATGATGCAATATACCAATATTTTGTTAGAGAATTAAAATATACCATGGTGTTCCTGGTACAGGTGTACTGGAAATTGGTCTAGATTTATCTTGAGGTTTAACTGTTTCTTTAGAAGAAGCCTCTTCTTTCTTAGGTTTAGCCTCAGATTCTTTCGCATTATCTTTGGTATCATGAGTACTCTCTTGTTTGACTTCTTGTTTATTAACTTCAGAAGGGCTTTTATTATTGTTGTTACTGGAGGTAGTTGCAGTAGTTGTAGAAGTGGCAGTTGATATCTCTTCTGCTTTTTGACGAAGTGCTAATTTTGCACCTATTAAAATATTTAAATAAAATAATGTCTTAATAAATATTACAACATTGTATAACGCAATCTTAAATTAACTTCTTAAAAACATTAACTATTATCTAACAGTACAAATTAACTGCGTTGTTTATTTTTAACTCACTTTCTAAGTCTTTCAATGCCTGTGGTTTCTCCCACACAGATTCTCCTGCTTTACTATTATAATAATATGATCTGCCATCTGGAGCACGATGTTCTGTCCAAATCATAGCTGATGCAACTAATTCAGAATCAAGTTGTGCTAATATGGCTGGATCTTCAGCGGGAGCTTGAGATGTCATTACACCATGTGGCATTTGTGGCATACCTAATAATAATAAATTATATAATACTTTCAATATCTTTTCAATCAAATATAAAAGTTTATCTAGTAAAACATTTATCTAATATACCCCAGTTTGTCTGCGGTGGACCATAACCACCAAATGGTTGAAATCCTGGTGGTGGCATACCAAATGGAGCTGTACCAAATTGAGTTGGAATTGGACCACCAAACTGATTGGGCATCCTATGTTGCATTGGCATCATATTTGGTGGTGGTTGCATTATATTTGTATTCATGGTCGATGTATTTATTGATTGAGCATTTGCAACTGTTGCAGGTACTGATCCTGCATTGTATGAAAAGTATATTGTAAAGTTTATAAAATAGCACGATATATATACATAGAGTAAATCACTAGAATAGATAATAATAAAAACAAGGTTTACTTACCATTAGTTTGACTTGTATCTGATGGTTGTGTATTGACATCTGGAGCATCGTTCAAAGATGGAGGAGGTCCTGTACCTGGGGGTGCAGTACTCATCTGATTCAATGCATCTGCATTATTAGAGGATGATTGTTCATTACCCTGAGATACTCTATTTTCATTCACTTGCGTTGGAGTATTAGGTGTGGAAGTAGGAGTGGCAGCACGAGCTGTTTGTTTAGATGCTCCGTGTACTAACTGTTCTAGCTAATGTATTAAACATAAAATTACAATTATCTTATGTTTTTAAATATATAATAAGCTCATGCATTAAGATATTGTAAAAAGAATTACTGTTATTTTATTATGTTATTAAATCTAACTAACCTGATCTTGCACCATGACCTTTACATTGGATCCTTCGGGTTTTGTCCATGTTGTCTCTCTAGATCGTATATTATAATAATACAACTTCCCATCCGGTGTTTTAGTTTCTACCCAAACTTCTCCATTAAGATCAAGTCCTGGAATGTTTCCTTGTGGTTGACTCTGTTGCTGCTGGTTTTGTTGTTGACCTGGAATCTGTTAAACACCTTGCAATTGCTTATGTTATACTACACATTATACATCTACTATTACACTTATGACTAGCTTACGCTATTCATATTGGGTGGTCCCATTCCAGGAGGTGGCCCATACGATCCTGGTCCTGTCCCAATGGGACCATTCATCATATGTGGTGGTGGCTATTAACACATATAATAGACAAAGGGATGCCAGGAAAAAATAAAAGAACTATCATAAGGAATGTTCTTTTATAAAACCATTTATATATTATGTAGACATTGATCTTTTTAAGGAAAATAAAAAAATGAAAAATTATATAAATGTTAACAAATACCGATATTCTTCCAGTTGTTTACTCTGATAGTATGTCTCCCATCTGCTTTTGCTTTTACCAGAATGCATTCAGCTTTATAACAATTGATTACATAATTTATTGAATATATATTAGTTAAGAAGATACAGATATCTGAGAAGACTATTATCATTATAATACAAACATTATTTCAGATTATATATATATATATTTTATATATTTTATATATATATATATAAGTAATATATAAAAAAAAAGCAATGCTCTTTACCATTCCTGGTGGTCCCATAAGATTTGGTGGTCCCATTATGTTAGGTGGTCCCATAGGTCCCCAGCTCGGATCAAAAGGTGGTGGCCCTCTAAAGCGAGGACCAGCTGGACCAGGTGGACAGTTGGGTCGTGGTGGACCCTCAAATGGATATCCATTATTGGCTCCACGAAACATTGGACCCCTTGGACCAAAACCTCTTCCTCGAAATCTTGGAGGACCGCCTCTCATTGGAAAATCAAAGCCACCTCTGCCAAAACGCTTGAAATTATTTATCTATGTTTTAAATATCTTTAACTAATCTTTAATCTACAATTTAAACTATTTGTGTAAAGACTTTATGTCTCCAACTCACAACTGTTAACATCAAATTTTTAGTAAAGAAATAAATAGAAAGCGCAAAAGTATTCATTGGATAATCGACATCAATAAAGTTTTAAAATTATATCAAATGCATGAAATTGCATTTGATTGCTTAATTATCATATAATTAAAAAAAAATGATATTCTTCGTGTTATCATTTTAATCACGCAACAAAACGTATTTGTTGTTCTTCTTTGTCAATCATTGAAAAAAAAAATATGTTGGTGGTCATCGATTACGCTGAAAGGCTTAACCTAACTCTAATAGACTCAATAATATTAAAAGGAGAATATAAAAAATTAAAAAATAATTCCAGGGATAAACAAAAAGACCGACGCACCTGAAGCTACCTCTTCCTCGCGGTACGAAGTGCCGATATTCTTCTCCATCGAAATTATAATCTTCCGTTTCTTCCATGCCCTCGTCATTGTGCTCTTGTTCATTGTTAAGATTCGCTTCAACGATTCCTGATGTTTGCTCATTACTCGGTTCCATTATATTTTCAACCGATTTGCCGTAACTAATTTAATTTTTATACAACCACTTATTACTTTTTCTTAGCTTGTAGAAAAATGCCGCAAACAAATCACTATTTTATTCGTAAGCCGTAAACATAGTATCGCCAACTTATAAAAAAATAGTTACTAGTCTTTACTAAGTTGCACATGATCGTCATGAATTGGACAAACGATTTACGAGTAAAATAAAATAATAATATTAATAACAATAATAAACAAAATAAAATATAATTTTTTAATACAAATAATATATTATTATAATACTTATTTATTAGTAAAACTAAAATCATCTTTTCATTTTTTAATGTAAACTATTATAAATATTATTAATGTATAATGTTTTTATTATATTTATTACTTTTTTATTCAGAATTATAATCTGAATCTAAATCAAATTCTTGTGTTTGAAAAACTAATTGTTTAGATGTTTGTTTTGTAGTCTTTACTGTGGAATTATTATAATTTAATAATTTTGTGCTATTCTCGGATGTAGTATCTTTCCATAGTTTTGTAATATCTATAACCTTGTTTGATCCCAAATCTATAGCCGATATACCAAAACTGTTAATACTCCACAATATTCTAAAATTAAATAAACAAAAAAATATTTTAACTTATATTTTTCTTTTTATTACATCAAACATATAATACAACACATAACATCTAACCGTTTAGAATTATTATCTTGTTGAAACTCTGAATCATTTTTGTTCTTTTCATTCTCAAATCTTATATTCATATACATTCCATCTAATATATAAAATAAAACTGTATTAATAAAATATATATGATAAGTATTTTGTAAACTTGTATACTTACTCTCACTTTCAATTTTTTCAGATAAATCAAAGCAGTTAGGGCTTTTAGATTTAAATGAACGACTAATTAAACATCTAGAATGCGGAAAAAATTGTTCAGGTTTTTCAGATGCACATTTAGTTTTACTTTCTATATTGAGTTTTAAAACATCAGTATTACATTCTTCTGCCATTGTTTGGATATTTATTTCCGTTTTATTTAATATCTATATAATGTATAGAATAATAATTATCTTGATAAATTTTAATAGCGCATGAAATCTTTAGAGAAAAATTCATATGTTCTAATACTGGTTGCGAATATTTGGTAAACAGATTCATCCAATGTTCTTTTCTTCTATTTATAATCTTTTTTGCTTTACAGAACTTGGATATAGAATGCTTTTTATAGTTTTTTGAATATCTAATGAATTAAGATTGAATTAGGGCTTACTTGTCTTAATTGAAAATATTACTGAAACACTTATGTTTATTTTTTTTTTTGTATAAATAATTCTAATCTTAATTATTACCTTGTAGTTTTATACATTGGTTAATTGATAAGCAACCTTCATAACTATCAACAAAAGACAAACGAATAGTTTTAAAAGCCCGCGTGTTAGATTTTAAAACTATGCAACAACATTAGTCAAAAGTACTACGTAATGAAAATAGTAATGTTAGTATAAAAAATTACGTCATACAGATATTTCTTTGATATTGGTGTTAGTATTAATATTTAATATTTTTAAATATATTTTTTTTTTAATTATATAGAACACTATACAAATGAATTTCAATTTCTGACCGCAAACAACAATCGCCATTTTTAGTCTATGTCGATGGAATACTTTTATGTAGATACAATGGATGATCTCACGTATTAATGCGTTTTTAATGAATTTCTATACAGATTATGAAAGTCAAATATTAATATAAATAGATAGATAATATAAAAGATGAGTACCAAATCTACTTTGTTATTGATAAAATATCCAGTCAAAACAATTCGTCCTTTTTGTACAGTAAGCATTAAAAATATCTAACCTGTTTACATAACACAATGTAATAGATTTATTTAATCATATAACTAATTTCTTTTATATCAGAAAGCATCAAAATCTAAAGCACAAAATAAAATAAATTTTGATCAAATTGGAAATCCAGATCCTATTTCGCACTTAAGACCAATCCTTTTTAAAAAACCTCACAATGAATCTACATTGGAAAGAGAATACAGAGAAGCTAGAGAAAATACTCAGCTATGGAATCAAACATTTTGGACTAAACACAACAAGAGTTTCATACAAGTAAGAGTAATTAATATTAAAGAAGACGATAAGATTTTTTATTAGCATATTTTAAACTTCAGGAACGCAGTAAATTTCAAGAAACATTGAAGGCACAAGGTAAAACATCATTGACAGCAGATGACATGTCTGTTTTTTATAAATACTTCCTCGACAAAAATTGGAGACTACACTTTGACTATAATGTATCATGGTATAGAAAAAATATTTATCTTTTACTTCTCGAATTGAAGGTTAAAATATCTAAATTGATATTTAGATGATTCATATAGAATTTAAATTTTAGATAATTTATGTGTGTAGAATATTTGTGAAAAGTGATATTAAGAGAATTTAGTTATAATAAATAAAGTTAATAGTTAAAAGCAATGATACACGAATGTACTTTAAGGATTGAATACATTAATTTACTTTTTTACAAATTGAATGTGGTGAAATAAAACTTGTTACTAATCTTATTCTTACAGCTGCATTTCTTAGAATAAAAAGTCACTTGATTTGCGCACAGTTGTTTTTTTTCTGTAAGCAAATTCTCTCATAATGTATTCAACTTCTTCCTGCTTTTCTTTTAATTTTAATACTAGAAATTTACATTGTTGTCTTTCAAAGTTCAATTGTCTTTGATAATGCCGTATAGAAGCACATAGTTTCTGTAAAGCTTCCTTCGCTGCAATTAATGCTTTTTGCTTTTGTTGTTCTAACAAATTTAGTTCTGCTATTAAATTTGGACAGTTCTTGCACTCAATATTATATTTTTCATTTAATTGTGCTTCCATAGTAATTAATGCAATTCTTAAAGATTCGCATGTTTCTTTTTCGTGAACTAATTCGTTTCTAATTTCTTCAAATTCAGATGCAGCTTGTTGAGCCATAATTTCACTATTTTGTAATAGCTAAGAGACAAATATTTTTAAATATAAATTTTAGTTAAAATAATTCAATTAAAATTATTATGATGTGTTCAAAATTACACGCGTTAGATAAATTACCACGTTAATCAAAAAAATGTACGTACACGTTTCTGCTTTTTTATTGTTTCATCTTGTTCTTCTATAATTTTAGTTTTAATATTTAACATACAATTATAATCGTCCTTAAAACGTTCTAATTCCTCTTTTAAATTATTGCATGTGACTGATTCCTTATTTAAAGTGGATTCTAAATTTTCAATATCATTTTGCATTCCGGTGCATTTGTAACTATATGACTTCAGTAGTGATTGCATTTCAGATAGTTTAGATTCCTAAAAATATCGTTACCTAACCTAATTTTCTATAGAATTTATTCATAAACTGTGTAGAGATAGAATAATATATTAACCTTCTCAGTAATCGTTTTACTTTTGTTACGTAAACTGCATTGTTGTTTTTTACAAATATTAGTTAATTCACATATTCTTCTTTCTTGTATTTTTGTAACATTTGTGAGTTCTGCAATCAATCCTTTCAGTTCAATTATTTCTGCCTGAAGAATCTCTTCTTTTTGTTTAAATATATTTTTTATACCGTTAACCTCATCTTGAACGACTGTGCAACTTGAAAATGAAAAATATAGTATATAAGGCAATATAATTAAATTATAATTACGCAGTATAATGATTTCATATATTACGTTCTCATTTCGCATTCAGAAGCTGTCCGCAATTTAAATTTTAAATTCTGGCATTCGCAGCACAAAGATGCATTCTTGTCAATGACATTATTCATTTCCTTCTATAAAAATAAATTTGTAATCCTTCGTCTCGCAAATTTGATGCACTTACTTTCAGTATTGACATAGCTTCTGACAATTTGTCTCTCTCAGCTGTAGCTGTGTTAGTTTCATTTTTTGCTAGCACAAGTTCTTCTTCTGCTTTTTTTAATGCATCTTTCAAGTTAGAAATTTCCTGTTCGCTATCTTCCTTCAACTTAATTAAATGTTCTTTGGCACTTTGCAACTTCTCTTCCAAATCTCTCTTCTGTTTCTTTTCGTTAGACAAATCCTGATAAATCAACCTGGATTATAAATAGTCTTTTAACTGAAATCGTAGATTAGAACATTCTTTTTATATTAGTATTATAAATATGACAACCTTTTGAATTCTTTCCAAGCTTCTTTTACTCAAAATATTTGTTTTATTTTGATTATTATCTGCCAATGTTTTAATCTCTTCTGGGTTTCTACTTTTATCATTGTCTTGTACTGGAATTTCTAGGGAAGTATTTACTACATTGTTTATCTTGTGAACAATTCCATTGTCAATATTTTCTTGCCCATAAGAATTTATTTTTTCCAAATTCTGTACATTTTCCAATCTTGTGTCGAGTACTTGTTCTATAATAGAAATCATTTAATTAAATACTAAGAGAGAGTATTGTATTTAATATTTTCTTTAATTTTGAACGATATATTGTTTAATTAATTTACCAATTTCTGCGGTAAATGCATCTTCCTTTGTGGTTCCATCACCGTTTATTTGTCTATGTAAATTATCTTTAACTTTTTCTACATTTTTATAAGCTGGTGATTTACAAGAGAAAGAAGAGGATATAATTATGATAATCAAAATTATTTTTTAATTAGAATATATAACCTTTTTATGTACTAATTTTTTATTATACAGATAATGCAATAAGTAAAAGTAAATAATTATTTATATTTATATAAGTAAAAAAAGGTTTACATTTGTTTATTTTATTGCATTGACAAAGACAGGTACATCTTCTCCGAGTTTTGCAAGTGTTAACATTACATGGTATTTTTTTCTTATTTTCTTCTATGCATAACATGTGATGTGGACAATCGCAAATCTTAAACAGATTATTATTAATGTTAATGGCTTAGATACACTATATCTTATATTTAAATATTATGTACCTTAGAATGTAGGACAGGATTTTTGTTATATTCGTCATCCATTTTTTGTAATTCGGCAATTGTCACAAGTTGTTGATTAAGTTCAGTTAAACGAGTTACAAGAAGAGACTTCCGCATTCCAAGTTTCTTCATTAATTTAAAAGTATTCGAAATTTTGATTTGATGCTTGAGTTTTTTAACTGCCTCAGTATTCAGGATTAAATGTGAAAATCTCTTGTTTATTCTGATCACAGATAGAATGTCACTTTTTTTTTAACTTTCAACCTTTAAAAAATAACATCATCTATCAGATAGAGAAAGTAATTCTTACAAGTAATATTTCTTAACTAAATTGAATGTGTGTGTAAAGAAAATACTTTTTAATATGTAAAACCAAAATCATGTCATTTGTTTATTGTGTAAGAAAATAGTCTATTGGAAATATCTAACTACAAATATATACGACTTTAAAATATGTGTGAACAAATATTTAGACATGTCAAAAAGAATATTATTATGTATACGATGGCGCATACTACTTTTTTGTGGTATAGGACTGTGGGTGGCACTTTGTATGAATGATCTGTATTATAATAATGAATTGATACTTTCAACAGGTAACTCGCTAAAGAAAAATATAGTTTTATTAACTTTATCAATTATTCAAATAATATTTTAATAAGTTTATTATGATTTTGGTAAAGATGAGGTACTTTCAACAACAACAACAACAATTGCACAAGAAATTTTAATTAAAAAGAACAAGACAGTAATGAATATTTCACATTTTACTGAACAAGATCATGAATCATCAGGTACAATAAGAAAATCAAGAATATTAACAACGTTTGTCATCATTTTTATATCCATTTGGTTCATTTTATTTACCATATGTATTGAAGAGTATATAAAGACAAAGTCAGACAAATTTATAAAGAAGTTAGTAAAATTTTAACTGACATATATTTAATATATATAAAAAGTACAAATATGTAAATAATTATATGTATGTACATTACAGACAAAACAACAAGAAAGAACTTAATTTTAATTCCAGTAATAAGACATTAACAAATACTGGTATACAAGTATCACCATGTCCTTTTTATTGTACGCTATCATCATTTAATATCAATTCCATTATTTTACACCAAGAATCAATAAGAACACGTTATGAAACTAATGACGGATGGTTGAATACTCAACCACATCAAGAATGGTTTTCAATAATTAAATCATCATCGGATACTTTATCATATACTTTCGAAGAAAAAAAAAGTGAACCAAAAATTATTAGTCAAAATTTAGAAAAGCACGAAAAAGAACTTAGCAATAACAATAACAATGCACATAATCAACAGAGGGTTGAATATTCGTGCAATGAAATAGACATTTTTCAATTAGAACATATATCTCAATTAATTTATTATATTAATTTAAGTCGATCACTCTATTTTCAATCAACTTTATTTACTCAAAGATATAATATTAGTATATTAAATATTTTCACTTCTTTATCGACTAAACACTCGTCGAATTCTACTTTATCGGTAGAATATTTATACAAACAAAATGGTATCGTAGATGATAACAACGAAAAAACAATTAATATTAATAAATTAAAAATAACGAATTTCTGGTCAAGAGAAAAAGAAAAAACACGTATTATTAGTTCCTCACCAGCGTTTCAATTATTTTTAGCTAATTTCAAGTATTTTAGGTATACAACTAATTGTAAGCCATTGTATTTTTCAAAGATTTATCAATGATTAGAAAAGTAATGAAATGATTAATAAATCAATATATCTCTCATTTATTAGAGATTATTATTTATATTATACACATTTACGTATATGTATAAACATATATAAATTAATATTTGATTTCTATATATATGATCAGATATTGAGATTACTTCTATACTTTTTTTTTTTCAAATATGCCATAAGCATGTTTGTAAACTATATCTATAAATAAGTTATAGAATTTAACATATTCGAAATTCAGTCAATCGTTAACGTAACGATGGTCTAAAAGTCTATTTCGCAATATTTTCTTCTAAACTATGGGAACATTAAATTATCTTGTAAGTAATTAATACAAATTAAATAAAATCTTTAAATAATTATTTTATCTTTATAACAAATTTATTTCACATTAGTTATTTGCATTAATTTGTGGATCGATCGTTCCAAGAGGACAATGTTTAAACATAGAACTAGATAAATATTTGCATGAAAAATTAACAGAAGCCAAAGTTAACATCGCTAGAAGTCATATTCAAGCTTCTCAAACTGGTAAAAACTCCCCCCATAAAAAATATTACTAAATAAAAAAAGACTTCTTAATATACAGCAGATTTATATAATTATAGTTTTTGTTAACAATTACAATGTGAGTTGGACGAAATCGTGGGATACGATATGGGGTACGGAACAACCATTAACGATAAATACGTTTAATCAAATTTTATTCTCCTATCGTAATGGAACTCTGGATATTTCTCTAAACGTTTCTCCATCTAACAAGGATTTCAAATTAAAAGAAAATAGTACCATTGGCCAGGCTTATTTTATCAAATTTATTAGAGTACGTTTATATGAACACATTTTTTATTTCAATTTATGAATTATTTCAATACTTTGTTGTTGTTTGAGATCATAATTAATCGTTTATTTTTTAGACAATTAAATGGAAAACAACTCTTTATCTTTTTCTTTGTTCCAACGTCGGTTGGTGCAGCTTGTACACGGGAAACAATATTACAAATTTAATTCATAGGCAACATATTCAACATTTAGAATTAATTGATGCTCACTTCTTTACCAAAGCTAATCGACTTTATTTAATATTAGTTGACAATATAAGCGTGTAAGTATTGTAAAGGACTAATCAAAAATTTCTAAGAAAATTTATTAATCAATTTGAATAATTGATTTTTTAAAGCACCTAAGAACATTTGATCTACCCCATAAATTAAACTAACATTTTTTTCTAATGATTTAATATTAATTAATGATCTAAAATAGTATTTATGATTGGGTTGGCACTTATATGGACATCTACAATAAAATATTTACTCCTTCAGCTGTATCAGTTGCTACGTTTAAATCTAAACAATCGATAATTATAATATTTGCACAAAATTCTAAATCCGATTCAAATATCGCATCTACTGTTTACGAATTCAAAGGAAACGATATCAAAATGATACAATTTTTACCTACGAATAAACCAATTTCCGTTCATCATTATTCTTACAATAATGATCAATTCATTTTAATAACTAATGAAATAAACGGAAGTAATGTTTACTGGTGGGACGGTTCGTATTAAAAATTTATTAGAAAACTTTATAGAATATTTTCTAATTTGTTATAATAATTGAAATATCTTCGATATGTTTTTAGGTACAGAATTATTAGAATGGATCGATATTCCTGAAATTAAAGCACATTATTCTATGCAAACAATATATTTACAAGATGGCACTTATTTTATTATTGCCCACGATGTAAATGCAAAAATATAAATTTTTATTAATATTTTTAAACATTAATTGGTCACTTTTTAATAGATTTTTAATATTCTAGGACGTTGTGGAGTTATTTAAAGTATACGGTATAGCCAATTATGCTTCTGTGAGTGTTCAAAAGTTAAATAATAACCAGAAAATAGTGGATATGCAGACATTATTACGTGACGAAAATATAACTTTAGTAATGACTACAATGAGTCGCGAAGGATTGTATTTTGTCGAGATGTGGGATTTAAATATCAAAAATAAAACCTCCCATGGTGAATCAATTAAATTTTGCAATTTAATCTTTACAAATAATAAGTTTTAATTGTAAAAATTAATTTTTTTATAGGGAATAATCTAACAATCACAGACACATTACGAGAATGTTTATCAGAAGTCGTTGGATTATTGCAAAACAGATTGACGATCATTAACAAGTTCGAATCATTCTTTGTAAAACAATCTTGGTCTAAAAATAATTCGAATGTTTGGGATGCAATCGAATTGCCGAGTATCGTTTTGAAGTCCAGTGTCGTAGAACAAATTAATTTATTCGTCGAAGAAGAAGTACTGACTCCATCCGAACTTCGAATAAATTTAGATGATCTCGAATCGAAAATTGACGATTTATCAAAAAGATCATTAAATATATTAAAAGCAAATACTACAAATAATATAAATGGCAAGATCGATATCATTGGTGATGCATTTTTCAAAGAATTGATTATCGATACGATATCCATCGATAAATTAAATAATGTTAGCATAAAATCTAAAGATCTTATATCTGTAAAAGATGATCAACAATTTGCGTCAACTTTACGCGCTCAAAATATCACCGTTCATGATCTCCAAGTGAATTCTCTTTGCGGAATTCCTAATCAATGTAAGTATTTCTCTTTTGAATCTCTCCTGAAAGATACTCAAGTTTTTTAAGAATTGATGTTAATTCCATTACTAAATCGTAGATTGGGCTACGATTGAAAACAAGGATGAAAAGATATTAATTAAAGAGAGTGATAGGACAAGACAATTATCTAATAATGGAGCATTCATTTATTCCAATATTTCTATACCTAATTTGAAAGTAAAGAAGATCAATGATATTGATATGGATCAATTGATCGATCAACTTTTCGTTATTGGTGGAAACCAAACGATTACAGGTATAGTTTATTATTTTTTTCTATTAATTTATTAATTATTAAAGAGTTCTCTTATTTTAGGTAACATTAAATATGATTATTTCGAAGTGAAAAATCTAAAAACAAAAATGTATAATGAAGTACCATCCTCGTGTTTGATGACAAAAGCGTTCGATCAACATTTTCCGGAATCTTTTATAAAAACCCTTGAAGTTGATTCGCTTCATACAGAATTTATTAATAATATCCCTGTATCCAAATTTGCTATGAAATCACGTGAAAATATTATTGATGGTATATTGTTATGATTTACATTTAGACTAACATAAAGTTGTTAGATTTATATTAACGAGAGAAATTTTATTTACAGGTGAAGTGATATTAGATAAAATGGAAGTAATAGAAATGTTCACTATGAATTCAGACGCAGAAATGTCGATTATTCCACCTTCTCAAATTTATGATAACGTGAAAATAACTGGTGACGTTGTAGTGAAAAGATTTGATTTTGAAGAAAATGGAAAATTAATTATGGGAAATCTAAAGGTCAAACCAAGAGAAATATTTCATAAAATGTGGACAAAATCAACGGATCAAACGATTGAAAATGACATCTCATTCGATTATGGTGTAACAATGGATCGATTAGAAACTAAATACTTAAATGGTTTTACCGAGAAAGAATTTTTATATACCACAGTAGAAAAAATTCCATCGATTTTCACGAATCTTTATTTTAAAAATTTACATATCAACGATGTCTTTCATGAGAATGAAACAAAATTAAATAGCATTGATGTTCATCAAGATCGTATTGTAATCCGTGGTGATCTACATATCGGGAAATTACAATCGCATCATTTAATTACTAATAATTATAACAATATATCCATCGATGTAATTTTGAATAATTCTGGAAATCTAAATTTGTCCGAAAATATTAACCTTCCTGAAATTTCAGTAAAACGTGCGATCGTACGTGAATTCAATCTCGATCGTCTCAATGATCGAGCAGTTTCTCCTTATTTAAAAATACAAACGAAGATAAACGAGAAAGGATTGATCAAGACACCGAAATTTCGTGCTGAAGAAATCGTGATAGAAAATTTTGATGGAAAAAATATCTCGTATTTAATCGAATTACAAAATGCAACGATTGCTGATATAATAAAAGAAATAATTATCGATGATGATCTTGTATTGAGCGAGGATTTGAACGTGGTTACTATCGGCGATTATCCGACCGAATTGTATTTGAAAAAAATAGCGTTAAACAATATTTCAGTATCGACAGGAATTATGGAACAATTAATTGTACAGAACATAACGATGGAATTTTTAGAAGGTTTCAAAGTCGACACACTTCCTTCGAATATTTTTTCAAAGACAGGTTCGCAAAAGGTACCCGGAGGATTCACCTTTAATACGATTCGTGCAGATAATGTGGAAGCTAATTATATTAACGGGATAAACGCTTCAAAATTGATGTGGATAGATGAACCTCTTATTTTAGAAGGAAACATAACATTCACCGATCTTTTTATTGATAATGATATCAATACAGAAAGTTTGAACGGCTATGATATTGAACAGGTATAATAAAATAATATAAATTCTTTTTAAAAAATCATTTTTCTCTAAATTTGTTTTCATATATTATCAGTTGGACCAGAGCCCTATTTATTTAACTTCTACAAACATATCGAATTTATACGTAAATGGACAAATTACATGGGAAAATTCTAATCAATCCTCTGAATCATTATCATATTTATTTGAAAAAGCACTCAGGAAAGACATACCGCAAGAAATTCAGGGTAATGTAACTTTCACTAAAGATTTGCACATCTCATACTTTACGGGAGACATTGAAGATGAAGATAAGATTAGAAAGATCGTAGAAGATACTGTACTCGAAGATTCGGAGAAAATTTTTGTGAGTGGACAAAAAATTTTCTATGATAATTTAACGACGAATACATTGAAGGCAGGAAAGGTAATCGATATAGAAATGATTAATGGAATAAATATCGTTGAATTAAATGCATCAGTTGTTAACAAATACGAAGAAAATGTTGTAACAGGATCGATCAATTTTTTAAACGAAGTCATCATAGATAATCTCATTTACAATGGTACTCTTCACGATACACCGATTACCGATTTGGTTCTTTCTGATCAAATGTTACCAAATAATACACATATGAAAAAACTCGTTGTTATGGGAGATATTTTTTTGGAAACAATCGACGACGTTAACTTTAATGAATTTGTAGAAAATCGTGTAACACTTAGCAAAGATCACGTTATAACTTCTGATATACAATTTCAAGGCCGAGTTGAAACAACTGGTATAGATAATTACATTATTATACTATATTATTATTAAATTAGAATAACATCTTATTTTTATTCATAATGTTTAGGAAATGCTGTGGTAAATTACATCAATGGTATCAATATTTCCGATTTAGTTTTGAATTCGTTAAAAACGACTCAAATTATTTCTGGCAGAAAAACTTATGTGAACGATATAACAGTGAAGAAAAATGTCTATGTTCCATTGATAAATGGTATCAATTTAAATGAGGAGTTTTTTAACAGTGTTTTAAACGATGAAAACGTGATCATCACCGGAAATCTCGTAAGTTTAATACAGATCAAATAATTCTAGATACTTTTATTAAATTGTATTATTCTTTTTTAGATCTTTCAATCGCATTTGGATGTCCGAAAGGAACTAATAGTTTCTGGATTAGTAAATGGTGTAAACATGAGTGATTTAACGAACAATTTGGATAATCTACAAAATCGTAGCATATCTTTGTTGAAAAAAAATAAAACGTTTATCGAAAATGCTATTCTAAAAGAAACTTCCGTTATTAGATCTTTACCAAGTGTATTTGCATATTTGGAAAAAGAAGAAAATTTGAAGATTGAAGTACCTGCTATTAAAAAGATCGATGTAGTTATATTTAATTCGATTTTAAAATTAAATATGTATGGCGAACAAAATAGTAATTTTTGTGGATTACCAGAAAATTGTTCTTGTCCATTGCAATACGTTGCTGAATTAATGGAAAATGATTGTCATGTTTGGAGATGGAACAATACTTCCATTATACAAAATTGGCACGAACCGAACAATCATTTTGGTATTGATATTACTACAAGTAGTGTTTCTTACAATTCATATTGTACTCGAAAAGAAACGAATCAAGAATTTACTACAATTTCATGGATGTCTAATGAAAAACTTGGAACAACTAGTCTCATCAAGGAAAGATATTCGGTTGTTGAAGTCAAGGGTTTTCTTAAAGATTCAAAAACGTTTACTTACAATGGTAAATTGTTTAGAATAAAAAATATATTAATATAGACATATATATGTGTATGTAATAAATTGATTAATTATTTTTTAGATGAAGTATATATAATTATGGCGATATATTACGATCCCATTATGAAGACACATAATACTAACTCGTTTATTTATAAATTAAATTTCGAAAACGAGAGTTTAACTTTGCATCAAGAAATTCCAACGAATGGTGCAACAGCTCTTGAAATTTTACAAATAAATAAAGACATATACATCGTTATAGCTTGCGATGGAAATACGAAGATGGGTTCATTTATTTATAAGTTAGATTTTATTACTTCAATGGTATGCGTTTGTGATAGCACACACAGTAGCATTGATATTAAATTCTATATAAATTTATTATTATTACTATGTTTTTTATATAGTTCGTTTCGTTGAGAAGAATTCCAGGTAAAAGTAATAGTGTAAAAAGTTTAGTAAACGATGATGATTATTTCATTATGTTTAATGACATCGATACACATGCTTTAAATATTTATTATTACAATTATAAATTTGATAATTTTTATTATTATCAAAGTTTCTTTCATGACTCGTCTATCAATGGGATTCAGAGTTTCTACATTGGTGGTAATTTTTTGATTATTATATCAACTTTAATTAAAGTATAAGTTTTGTAATTAATTTAATTTATGTTTATCGTTTTTTAGAATTTGGAAATAGTGATGGTTACGTTATAGTAACCACAGAAGATGGGCAATTTTATGTTTATGAATATATGTTTGTTGGGGTAAGCAACAAACATTATTTTATTGTTTTAATGTATATCGTATACATATAAATATTTTAATTATTATTTCCAGAAATTCCAAAGAAAGTTTATATATCAAATAGATGGTTTACAAACCATTGTTCCATTTCATTACAAACAATACCAATATCTTATTTGTGGAACAAAATCAAATACAACAGTAATGCGTATTGTGCAGCATGGTTTGCATTGATATTATTATAATTAATTAATATGTTTTCGTTAATGCAACGTTTTTGATTTATTTACAGTGAAAGTGCATAAATATTATTTTTTATTTATTACAAGTTTTATTTATACAATATTTATATTATTAATATCTTTATTAAGATAATATCTATATTTACAATTTAGAAAGAATGAAATTTAAAACAATAAAACAATTGTTAATGCATGAGGTTATACACTTATACTTGTAATATGTTGTTACGGGTTTTTTCAAGTAATTGGAGAATTATAATTCGTAATATAAATAATTAAAAAAAATTATTGTGTGTAAAAGTGATTACTATGACTTACCAATTACTCTAATCTGTTTCTATTTCTAAATACATACTACGATATAACCGGTACACAGCACGTGCAATGTGAAAGTGTTGAACCTAACCTCATAAAATAATGAACAATTTATTATCTTCGTCGATAAAATGTATAAGACAGAAATTAAATGCTGGCAATGTACGACCATCAGAAATTTGCAAAGCTTCTATCGATCTTATATCAATAATTAAACCACTCAATGCTTATATCACCGTAACCAAAAACTTAGCAAAGGAACAATCTCAAGATGCAGATACTAGACAACAAGAAAATGATATTTTAGGTGATCTTGATGGTGTTCCTATTGCAATTAAAGATAATTATTGTACCAAAGCAGTGCCAACGACTTGTGCATCTTTTATGTTAAAAAATTTTGTTCCTGAGTATAATGCTACCGTTTATCAGTCTCTCAGAAATGTGGGCGCAGTCCTAGTTGGCAAAACTAATCTGGATCAATTTGCTATGGGCTCAGGAACTATTGATTCATATTATGGACCAACGATAAATCTATGGGGTTCTGAAATATTATCTAAACATTACTTATATGAGGATGGTACAGAGATAAAAAAACAAGTTTGTACTAACAACGACCAGTGGCATATAGCAGGTATATACTTTAATATCTATTAATTCTATTAATTGACAGGATTAAACAATAGATATTTCTGTAGGTGGTAGTAGTGGTGGCTCCGCAGTAGCAGTAGCTACTCACAGTTGTTATGCAGCAATAGGATCTGACACTGGCGGCTCTACTCGTAATCCTGCTTCTTACTGCGGTCTTATTGGATTAAAACCAACTTACGGATTAGTTTCAAGAAATGGTCTCATACCTTTGGTAAATTCAATGGATGTACCTGGTATTCTTACCAGGTATGTGGAAGATGCTGTTTTGGTTTTAAATAATATAGCAGGATATGATGAGGCAGATTCTACTACTATAAAAAAAGATTACGAGCCTTTCTCGATACCGGATAAAATTGATATTAGTAATTTACGTGTTGGTATACCAAAAGAATATAAAATTGATGGCATAAGTATAGAAATACAGAAATGTTGGGATGAAATCGCTTCTCTAATAGAAGAGGCAGGTGGTAAAGTCATTCCAGTTTCTCTGCCACATACAGATTATTCTATAGTATGTTATTCAGTATTAAATTGTTGTAATGTGGCAAGTAATATGGCACGTTATGATGGTACTCGATATGGTTATCGCGCTGATGAAAATGATTCGGTAACTGAATTATACACTAAATCAAGATCTGCAGGTTTTAACGATGTTGTTAAAAGTCGTATATTCACCGGGAACTTTTTTTTGTTAGAAGAAAATTATGAACAGTATTATGTAAAAGCAATGAAATTACGTAGATTAATTTCTCAAGATTTTGATAACGTATGGGACAATAATATTGATTTGTTACTTACACCTACTACCCTAACGGATGCTCCTATTTATGATGAATTTATATTACTCGATAATCAGACACAGTGCTTAATTCAGGATTATTGTACGCAACCAGCAAATATGGCAGGAATTCCAGCAGTTAATGTACCTATTAAATTATCTAAAAAGGGATTGCCATTGTCATTGCAATTAATGGCACCACCTTTGCATGAAAAACGTCTACTTACTGTTGCTAAGTGGATTGAAGACTGTGTACAATTTCCAAGGATACAATTGAAATAAGTTAACGTGACAAAATAGATGTCTTTACTTATTGTAAATATGTTTATTTCTAGTAATTATTGTAATAAATAAATTAACATATTTGTTACAAACGCCGTGACGTAATAAAAAATATTCTCGTTACTTAAACGAGAGATATAATGTAACAAATTATATATATAAATTAGATTTTTTATTCAATTAACTTGGGAACTAATTCTGTTTAGCCAGGAAGATTGCTAACTTTAATCTAAATTTGTTTTCACTTGTCTAATCAAATAATAATTGAAACAATCAACATTTTTTTCATTAAAAACATCGAGTACAATCAAATGTATATTAATATGTATATCACAAAATATAAATTGCACTTTAAAAATTGAAATAAATTAAAAATAAGATTTCTCTTAGTTAGATTCTTTCGCACTATCATATTATATTTTACGGTAATAATAACTGCAATTTACAATTTATATGCAATACTACTCTTCATATAAAATAGAGTGATTTGCATCTAATAATAAATATTTTTACAGAATTGAAAAATATTGCAATTTATTTGTGAGAATATTTAGATTATTTTTTAATTTTTAATCACTTGCATAATTATTATATATTGAAGAAGGGCTTGATATATAAGATATATAAAAATAATTGTACTATATGCACAAATATAATCAATAATTCATTAAAATTAAAAACGGTCTACGTTTTTAAAGAGAAAATAATAAATAATTTACCAATATATTATGGGACGATTTTTTCACAGAAAATGAAGATTTTCTTTTTAAATTTTGAAAAGTCATCTCCTTATTTGAGCCTTTATCTTTGAAACGAGACCTTGTTCATTAAAATTAATTTAGAATTATGCCCAGATTCATTGCTGGTATGAAAGTTGTGTTCAACACTTTTTCAATAGCAAAAAAAAACATTGAAATTATTTGTACATCATAACATCCGGTGATTGATACATGCACATGTATGCGTCACACAGAAGTCGTTTTGCGTATTCCGGTAAATTACGATCATCTGTTAACTTCATTAAACAATTGCCACCATCTTCGCTTAGCCAGTAAGGAAAATCCGGGCATGGTACCATCTCTGGTATATTATACCCATCTTGTTCACCTAAAAATAAATATTCATTATAACACAATTAGTTATTAAATAAAATGTATAAATAATGTTAAATAATACCTTTTCTATCTGCCATAGAATCGAAAAAGCACCATGGTGCTTCCGAACCAGAACCACATTTAACAAACGAAACGTAGTGCGATGTTTCAATACAAACAACTGCTGAAAGTTCTAAATATAAACGTGGTACGGGACAATGCTCTTGTAGAATAGCAAATTCAACTGGTACGCTAAGTTTTTTAGGCTCATGATTTGTTCTATGTTCATGACGATGTACCTAAAAGATAATGCTATAATTTGCAACATATATCATGATATTAAAATGAAATTATATTACGAAATATAATTAACATTACCGTTTTTAAACATTCTACACAGAAAGCTATGCTTTCAAGTCCTACTCCGCATTCTCCATAACATTCTTTGCATTCGAATTCGGCTAATTTGCCACATACCGTGCACTGTCTAGGAGCTGTAAAAAAAATATAATATTATTAATCAATATTATTAATATACTTATAACTCACACAATGTTTATTCTGTTAATAATGGACAATACTTAACAATCTTCAATTATATCCGTCACATCAAGTAAGAGAGTCGGTTGAATTTTTTGATACATTTTAAAAGATTTTCCAAATCTTGGCATTTGTATAATAAGACAAGAAGGAACTTCCTTCAATCTGATATTACTCGTGAGAAAGCTTTGTTCTAATAGTTGTTGTACTGTCGGTAAGCTTAGATGATCATCCTTTTCAACAAAAAGTTGATAATGATACGCATCCTGTCCTGAACTTAATTTGAGAAATGGTTCAGCATTTAAGATTTGTGCTACCAATGATGTTAAAAATTCTTCTGGATCTGTAAAAAATAATATTTCATTTTAGTATTGTTTCAGTAGTAATTTATAAAAGCTATAAAAATAATAAGAACCTTTTTCTTCGCTTGTAAGACCAGACACAGAAGACAACCTTTCAAGCAACGTTCGTAATTTCATAACACGATCCGCACTTACAAATATATTTTTTCTAAGTGGATTAACAATTTCTTCGCGTAATACTTTCTGAACTTCTTCGTACTCGGGACAATCTTTTTCATTCGGCGGTCTACGTTTGATAAAATAATAAAACATTTTTTATTTATGTTACTTTCTTTAAAATAATAACGAGAATACATGTGTTAAATTACCTGAATAACAGATTGTCAAATACACTAGTGAAAGCAAACATACTGAAAAGGGTAGCATCCAAATAACATGAATTATGATGACCTTGTATTCCTCGGAATTTTCCACAAATACTCTCTAAATTTCCTTTTACTGAAATAGGTCGAACCATTCCTATAATTACACTTTCCATGTTCCCAAAATTGTTAGTATTCATAGAAGGAAATCGATCATCAGGAAGTCTTATCTATTAATCAAAATTGCATTTATAAAAATAGGATTCAAAGTGTAATATTATTTTTACTTCATGCAATACTTACTAGTCCAGATTCATATGGAAAGCATTGCTCGATATCCGTAAAAACAGCTCTATAAGGTTGACATTGAAAATATCTTGTTTCATTGTAAGTACCATCTGTACCCGATGGATGTACATCATCCTAAATTAATTATTTGTTTTTATATTTATTACATATAAAATTCAAGACATATAAAGGACAGGATAAAGAACAGGATAAAGAACAAAGAAATGGCACAGATTAAAACAGGATAGAATATATCCAATTACATAAGAGACATTTAAAGGAGTTGTTATTAGCGTATGAGTGAACGGAAAGAATGAATGAATAAGATAGCTTCCAATTGTTATTACATCATAAACCCAATCTTATTCATTGCTGCGTAATTGAATAAAGACATTTATTATGATTATTATTTACCAATTCAACGGCTGCCATTAATTTACTAGTATTTGTACCAGGTGGTGTTCCAACCCAACGAAGGGTTCCATTTCTTACATCTGAACCTAAGAGTACTTTGACATTTGAACCCACTATTAAGTCCGAAGGTTTATCTCGTTTAGAATTCTTATTTCCATTTTCCTCCGACATATTACCTGTAACAGAATACCATTATTAGTATTATTAGAATTAATTAATATTGAATATATTCTGTAGAATTATTTTTTCTTACTATGATTGAATTTGTCTACATGATCATAACTTTCCTCTAATTCGCTATATGCACTTGATTCTATGTCACTGCTCCATTTATAATTTAATACAAAAGTTGGAATATTTTGAAAAGTAGCCATTATTTAATTAAACTTAGATTATATTCACAACACGTTAGACACTTGCCGGTATATTCAGGATAGACTAACTCTAGAGCTATTTTTAAACACCTCAGTTAACTATTATTAACTCTCTTTAGTATATAGGGAAAACCAAACCAGGTAAGAATTGTTCCCTAATCGAATAATAAATAAATAATAAATAAAAGATTTCTATTATTGTTAAACGTTACCTAATTTGTTATCTGTAGTTTGTGGAATTAATGATCTCATGGCATAGTGATGTTCATCTGGTAAAGATGTAGTGTTGGAATTATTGTTATTATTGTTGCTACTGTCAGGTGTAAACGTTTCTAACAGAGCTAAAAAACTTGGATCCAGAGTAAATTTCTTTTTATCGTTAGTAGGGACATTCTGCGTAATTGGTTCTGGTATTAAAACTGTAATGAAAAAAAGAATCTGTGTAAAGAAATCATTCAATTTTCTACGACTCGTAAAAAATGAGTTACGCGATAATATACTTTGATCTGTATTTCTAATCGGAAGGTCTGCTTTGTAAACAGAAATTTCATTCAATGTTGCAAATGTTTTTGGGTGCATAGACTCAAAATATTCTTGACATAGTATAGATGTTTTGGATATTTTTTGACTGTCCTAAAATCATTTATAAAACATATCTATATTTATAAATATATTATTAGAAAGATCAGATATCCATGTGCATTTGCAATTGTTGTCTGGGATAAATTTACCGGTATGTCAAGACCAAAATAAATCCCTTGACCAAGCTGAGATACTGGACCAATATATTTAATAATAGCTAATTCCTTGCGGTCTCTAAGCTTGTAATTAGGATGATACCATACTTTATCATTTATGCATAAATTCTCCAATATTCCACAAAGCAGTACATTACTGGCCAGCCGAACTCTTTCTTGTGGTACTGAAATCGCAATAAGAAATCCCCATATTTCTTGTGGAATAGGAATGAGATCGGTTTTTAGACAGCGCCATTCGGTGTCAAACCAAATATTTGATCCTGATACATCGATGATAGAAATTCTGAGTGCTCCATCCTTTAAATCTTCCAGGCATTTAACCAGCATTCCCAGACGTAAAGTACTTACATTTACATCGCAATGCTCTGATACATTTCCTGACATTGCCCTTACACGTGTAAGAGTAGAATTGTTCTTAGCAACATAATATTGTATTTCAAGTTTCTGGTTTTTATTGCTATCAAAATTTCGACTTTCCATTTTTTTTTAGAAATAAACGTGCATATTTATTTACAAAACTTTGACAGAGATTAACTTAAAAAACAAAGCTTTTGATACGAAATAACAGTAAATCACACTTTTCGAGAATATCGTCAAGTATTTCGAAACATTGTAAATATTCTGTCATTTATCTAAATTCTAATATTATCTTTTATTTTTTGTATATGACTAATCAGAGTCAATTAAAATTCAAGCATAACGATAAGCTTTATAGTAAATGTGGCTAGATAGTTTTATTTCGTTACCGGCATATTGGTAATACACAATCATTTTTGCTAATAAATATTTTCTTTTTTTCTTTTTATAAAAAAGAAGATATTTTTCATATCTTATATAAATAATATGTAATGTTCTTAATATCAAACGATTAGGAAATGTGAAATATATTTGTTATTTATTTTTAATGTAAAAATTCATCCCAAAGTATAGAAAAAAATATTTAAATCTGATTGGTCGACGAAATCGCGGGAAATATATATTTTTAAATAATCAATAAATTCAACTGAAAAGTAGGTCTTTTTTATAAAAAATATTTAATTAATTACTATATAAAAATAGTTCGTAAATTTTAAATATATTAATTATAATAATATGAATGAAAAATATGTCTGTGTGTGTGGATAGAACTAGACAATATTTATCTTATTTTAAGATTTTTTATTAGATTGGTCAGCGTGGTCAACCATATTGGATTCGAAATAATGATCAGTATGTTGTTAGCGCGCTTTAAAAATGGTTGATCCGGCATATAGCGAAATGTCTGTAGCAGATTCTTCACGAGTTACTGGAGATAGTGGTTTCAGTGAATTATTAAGATCTGCGGAACAATTATCAGCTGCTGTAGAAGGTAGCGAAGAACTTCCACAGGTCGAAAGAAATTTACGTCAAATATTAGAAGCTTCTAACGAGTTATGGTCACGTGTCGCACAAACTGCAACTCAAGACAATCAGGTGCAAGCGTAAGTTTTTATAATATATTAATTAATAATAATTATAATAATATATAATAGTAATAATAATATAAGAAATATTTTATTTTTCAGTCACCTACTTTTAGGTTCTCGGGGGGTTGATCTACCAATAATATCACAAAAATTAAGCTCACTCAGTGCAAGGTGTACATTTGAACCATTGGATCCTATCGCTGACACTGACATCGTTAGCTACCTGAGAAATGAAAAAGAAAATGCAATTCTCTCTATCATCGAAGAAGTTCATAAAGATGTAAATGTTATTTTTGTTGTTTGTAGTCAAAATATTTTTCTATTTTTAATAAGTATTGTTAATGTCAAACTTGTTTCGTATTTTAGACATTTGAACTTACAAGAGTTCAACAAATGGAACATATATTGGGTGAATGGAAACAAATGCGCTTTGAGATAATAAATGCAATGACAGCTCCATCAGGAGAGTTAGTAGATTTAAGGGGAACTCCACAACGTACCAAATTGGCTGGATCAATGGTTAGTGGTCTCTCTAACGTGGAAGTTGCTTATGCCAAAGAATTACAAAATTACAATGAACATGTACTACGTGGTTCAATAAGACCTAATTTGTTTAATACATTTTGTAAAGCAAGTGAGTCGTTTAACGACAAGAAGGTTACTGATTTGTGGCAAATGGTTAAGTTTATGGTAGATATTCCACCAACACCGAGAGGAGATCAAATTAAATCGAGAACTAGTCCTGCTATTGAACAGAAGATTGTATCGTTAGCAAGAAATTATCTTGAAAATCGATATAGAGATTTTATGAATTCTGTAATCAATGAAAATTTAGTTCAAGCTAAAAGGGGTGGTATTCCAGGCACTGTACCTTTGGTAAAAAGCTTTGTTGGTATTAAAATACAAAATTTAAGAGATCTAGAAGATGTGGTGGATGGTAAACCATTGTGGCCCTTAGTTTATTTTTGTATGAGATGCGGAGATTTCAAAGCTGCATTGCAATGTTTGTCACAATGCAGTACACATTACTCAGAATTTAAAGCTGCTTTGAAAGAAGCGAGCGAGGATCCACAACGTTATCCTGGTAATCGTGCCGAGTCAGTATTAAGATTACATTATAAAAAGCATGTTAAATCTTCGACAGATGCTTTCAAGAGAGCAGCGCATAGCGCATTGGTTCCATGTGAACCGGATGACTTGCATTCCGAAGTAATAGCAACAGCAGATGATTATTTGTGGCTAAAATTGTGCCAAGTTAGAGATCAACCAGAAGTAGAAAATAAATTAACTTTGGATTATCTCCAAACGACAATCTCTGAAATATATGGTACGTTACTAAAACTTAATTATTATAAGTGCATATTAATGAATACAATTAAATTATTTCATTTCTTATGTATTGTAGGTGAATCTTATTATCATGCTCATGAACAGCCATTCTTATATTTCTCCATGCTTTTCTTAACTGGTCAGTTCGAAGCAGCTATTGAATTTTTGGCAAGAGGTGCAGGTGCTCGTCATTTAGCTCATGCTGTCCACCTGGCAGCTGCTATGAATGAACATAATTTGTTATCTGTTAGTCAAAGCGTTCTAGCTCCGCTTGTAAGCGTTGACCCTTCTGACAAGCCACCTGCTAAAAGATTAAATTTTGCAAGATTGATATTGTTGTATGTTAAGCGATTTGAATCCTCAGATCCTAAAGAAAGTCTGCACTATCTCTTTTTATTAAGGTAAAATTATACTTCACGCGGAAAATAAATTCTAGTTTAAAATTAAAATCTTTTACATAATGAACATTTTGATATAATTTTAGATGCATGAAAGATCCCTATGAAAGAAATATGTTTGCTGCGTCAGCTGCAGGAATGGTTGTAGATGCTTCACCTGAAAATCGAGGTGTTCTTGTTGGAAAAATAGAAAAGGATAGAAGATTACCAGGAATTTTAGATCAGTTCCAAGTTAATACAGACGACGTTATAAATATATGTGCAGAAACATTGTATAGAAAAGGGCTTCTGGAAGATGCTATTACGATGTATGATATTGCTGGTAATCATGAGAAAGTTTTCAGTTTAATGTGTACACTTTTGGCACAAGTCGTAAGCGAAAGAGGAACACCTGGATCATTAAGGACTCGATTGCAAGCTACTGCCAACGATATTGCCTCAAGGTATATAAAATTTTATTTAATAATTATTTTATTTATTTCTATTAATATATTTATAAATAATTACATGAATATATACAATTTTGTAGGTATCATGGTATTGCAATACAAGCACCAGCTGAATTGGTTGCTTCTTTTTATACTTTGCGACATCTTATGGTATTTTTTGATCAATATCACAATGATCAATATCAGAGTGCACTTAGAGTAAGTGAAAAAATATATAAATCATTTTTAATTAAAAAATCATTTCATTTTATTATAACTTAAAAATTACATTTCAGACTATCGCTGAATCAGAAATATTGCCGCTGCACGTCAAAGATGTGGATGAAAGGGTAACAGCATTGCGTCGAGTGTCACCAGAAGTAGCTGGGACACTAACAGATGTTCTTTTAGCTACTATGACGATACTTTATCGCCAATATCAAAAATTACGATCTATGGAACCGGGTGATGAAATAGCAAGAGAACAACAATTTCGTGATCTTCGACATCAAGCAAGAGCATTGACGAGTTTTGCAGGAACACTACCGTATCGTATGCCAAACGAAACCAATAGCAAACTTGTACAAATGGAAATTCTTATGCACTAATTAATTTTTTATAAAGATATCATTAATTAAAATATTATTAGCTATTATTTTCACTTCTCTAATTATAAAAACATTTCAATGGAAGTATCGAAAAGGTAAAACCAGCAAAACACGTCCCAATTATTTTCTTACGTATATGTAGAGTTTTACACTGTAATAAATATGACTTTTGATAAATGCTTTTATGATTTTACAAAGATAATCATTCTAGCTATGAATTTTTGACAGATGTTACAGATATTCCTGAGCTAAGATCTGGAACTGTTCCTTCTTTCACCTAAAAATATTTACATAAAAATATATATATATAAATACATATATATATATTTGTTAAAAATAATAAATACATTTCGAGTAACTTACAGCTCGATAATCAAGGATCATTTCTTTAAATGATTGGAAATCTGTAACTGCAGATAATATATCAAAAACTTCGCCGTCTGAATCTGCTTTTTTCTCTCTTAAAAAAAACGGTATATTAAATTTATAATTATTTTTAAAAATATAGTAGATAAAGTTAATACTATATTTACCTCAAATCACGAAGAAGAACATCCATATTAAAATGGGGTATAATTTTTTGTAGATAATTTACAATATAAGTTTCTACAGTTGTATTCTGAGAAAAAGAAATTTATATTTTTAAAACTTACGAAAATTAGATGACAAATTAGTCCAGGATATTGTATATAAAACTTACATATTCATTAAATATTTCTGTATAAATTAATTTATTTTCTTCAGCTGGTTCAAAAATGGTCCAATATTTTTCTAAAAATTCATTTTGCATGGCATAAAAGCCATCATCTATAAAAATATATATTATACACACACAGAATAATATATAATAAATGATTTGCATTTTTATAATATTAAACATACCTAATAATAGATCTTCTATGTGGCCAATAATTACATCAAATAATTCAATCTTTGGAGTTTGTTCAAGATATTTTCCTGGATTTATTTCTAAACAATCATCCTCTAAATAAAAAAATATTTTTAAAAATATAAGAAAATAATTAAATGTATAGATAAATTTTTTTTGTATAGATATAATGCAAGATGGTGATGAAATAAAATATTAAATCTTTCATTTTAATCACATAAGAAAATTGTTATATATATGAAACTGCATAATAAATACGAACCAATCATTTCGTTTGCCATATTTAATCCACTAGACGACTATAATGAGCAAATAATCGAAACGTTAAAGGTTAATATATTAAATATAAATATATCTAATATATTTTTTTTGCATATATAAATACATTACGCAACTGTATTTAATGGTAACCTGTAAATAATGAGAATGTTGATATTCTAAGCTTCCCATAGCAACGATGAACAACAGATCATCTGATTGGTCATTTAATTAAAATGGCTGCACTGTAACTTTTGAAACTTGTTCATCCTTGTCAAGATATCAGTTTAAAACGTGAGAACTTAAAATATTTATGTTAAAAATAATTCAATTTTATAAATAATATAGATGATATTAAATAATGATAAAAGATCATAATATATAATAATAATAATTAACGGAGAAGGCGGGATAAGGTTGTGTAAAAATTTGGGTTCCGGTAACGACGATTGTTCATCGTTGCTTATTTAATGACGCTTCATATAATCCTCTTACCAATTATCTCTATATATTAAATTTAATAATATTATATTTAGTTTTAATAAGTGTAAGATAATAGTGAATTTGAATATCATTAATACGATAGTAAGTAATGAAATGTTTTAATTATTTACAAATATATGTTAATTATTTTTTCAGAAACAATAATGGAAATTTACACATTTGATAAAAGTCTTCAAGAAAGACTGATAGAATTCAGTGAGATATTATCAAGTCGTGGTGAGACTGTACCAGCATCACAAGTTAAATTAGAATGGATGAATTACGTTGAACTTGTAATAGAACCAACCGGGTGGCAAGCGTTATGGAAAATTCCTCGTTTGACTTGTCAAGAATTTAAAATTCATTATCCCACCATTGTCGTTGTCCAAGCTGAACAAGTAGATTTTAATGATCTTTCAGCATTAGTTAAAATAGTAGCTGTACAAGATGAAATACATTTGCCTGCAAAATACGATGTTCCTTTGATAGAATTATATCCAACGCAAAGTCAATTAAATACAACTTTGGATATGATTGGTACTTCCTGTTGTATCGATCAATTGAGATTCTTTTATAATTATTTATGGATGCCATGGGACATTGATGATGATGAGGATTCAGATTGGGTGACTTTACATTTAGAATCTAGAATTAGATTATTCTTCGATATGAAAAGGGGTTGTGTCAGTAAGGATACTTGCGATGTTATCAGATCATTGACAAGAGAAGGTAGAGAAATACAGCATAGAATTTCTAAATTAGAAGAAGCAATGTCTGATGAGGAAGAAAGTGAAAATTGTTTATTGGACGATGGAAAAGCTTGTCAGTTGATGAATCTTCATTTTAGATTGCAACAGATTAAAACAGAAATGGAGGTACTTGAAAATCCTGCGATCAGAGATATCATATCGCGGAATCAAAAATCTTTTATGGTAGAAGAACAAACGAGAAAGTCTGAGAACAAGGACAAAAAAAAGGAGGCTCATTTTGTATGGCTTGGTAGTACTGTGACTGAATTAAAAAATGCATTGAGTCAAATCGAAACAATCTTTTCATCAGATCTGTTCTTCAAGTACGAAAATATAAATTATCATAAGTACGAATTAAAGATTATGTTACTAACGGTCTTGATATTTTTGTTATAGGATCTATGGATGTCTACAGGAAGCTTTACTTGCTGCTGACAAAAATGATATTGTTGTAGTTGGAGAGGGATTACATCAAATTAGAGGGTCCGGTGGTTTGGAAGAAGGCGGTATTATTAAAGGAATTGGCACAGCAGAAAATATAATTCTTTCTGCAAATGACATAGAAAGTTTACCATCCTTGTTAGACTTTTCTGGCCAAGAAGTTAGATATATTATTTTAAATATATTTCAAGAAGTATTCACACACACATATTTGCTAATAGATTATAATATTTTCTCTTACAGGTTCTACTAGAAAATATATCTATTAATCTTGGTGAACTTCAGGCTGGTATTATTATTAGAAAACAATGTGTACGAATGGTTGGTTGCAGAATATTTGCCTTGAATCAAAGTATTATTAAATTAGGCATAGTCGTTTTACCAGGTGCAAAATTAATTATGGAAAAGACAGTTTTCGATGGATTAGGAACTGCTGTTGTTGTTTATGGAAGAGGTGAAGTCAGCATGAGCGAATGTAGTTTCAAGAGTTGTTCTGAGGGTATTCAGGTAAAATATTTAAATGATTCACATAATATTATCAATTTCCTTTGTAACTAATATAAAATTTATTTTTTAGTTACACGATGATGCTACTTTAATGGCAAAAAAATGTCTACTTGGATTTTTCAAAGAATATGCTATTCGAATGGAAACACAGAAATATTTAAGTGGTCCTGAAAGCAAAGTTGGTAGTATCGAATTATTAGACAATGTAAAAGAAATCTCATTAGAGGAATGCACGTTCCAAAGTAATATTAAAGCGGACATCATTTTAAAGTCAAGACTTTCAACAGCTTTTGTTTCAAGAGATGGCGTTAATAATACTATTGCTTCTTAAATTACAAAATTCTTATTTGAGTTTGTAATACTATTTGAATTAATATCAATTTTATACTTGTAATGTTATAACGCACACATATATATATGTGCGCGTTATTTATATAATATATTATATTTTTATAAGTGTATATTATACTGTTACGAGTATCTTAACTTATGTGAATTAAAGGAATAGACATATTTTTGTATCGTACATACAGATGTAAATATTATTATGAGCTTATTTTCTAGGAGATTTATCGAATTAAAACTAATTTTGTAGTCGAGAAAGTTACTGAGAAAATTATCACTCAAATCTTGGCGCTATTTCGTTTATTTAGTATAAAGTTGAAACAACAGATGGCATTAGTTTTATCGTTTCTTATATGAGAGTTTACATTATGTACCGACATTAAAAACAAGTAGTAGTCATTCGTTCCGCGAGATGGCGCGGCTATTCTCATTGCATAAACATTTTTTATAATGTCGGTATCGTCTTACAACTGGAAAGTCGATCGAAATGTGTCGAGATATTTAAATCCGTGTTATTTGATAGTGAGAAGTGTTTACAATTGGACAAGATTTCGAAATATTTCTAACCCAATTGTTAAGCCTTTTTCGGTACGTAAGTAATCAGGTACCATCTTTCTATTTTTACTATAATTTCTTTCAAAAAGATTGCAAGCATGCTACATATTGTAAACGAAATAATATGTGAGAAAAAAACAATTAAACTTATAGTTTATAATTTAAAAAAAAAAAATAAATCTTATTCACTTGTTGTTATAAAACAATAGAAAATCTACTCAAATTCTACATGGCAGACCGGTGTTGTTGAACATAACCTCATATTTAAAGATTTCAAAAAAACGTGATAAAAATGTAAAAACAATTCAATATTGAATTTGTTTAACAGAACAGATAGAAAATAAAACGAATATAAAAAGAATAAAATACACACTTATCAAATATAAAAAACAATCTAAATAATTCGATTCGTTTTATTATTGTCTATTGTCTATAATGACAGCAAATGAAAACTTCAAACGAAAGGCGGGAATTTTGAAAGTTGGATAGATGCGCGAAATTCGAAAGCAATGGAGTATAAACATAAGTAATTTGAAGTAATTTTTTCTTTCCAGAAATCGAAACGAGTAATTAAAAGTGAATACAACTGGTCAAGGTCCTTATTGTGGAATCTGTTAGGTTTGTGGCGACGTAAGGGGAGAGGTAATATGGCTCCAGTTGATAAATTACCGAAGATGGTGGAAACGAACGGGCCGAGTCAGGCGACCGACGAACAAACTCAATTTGGCAACGCTCGCCAATTGGAACCCTCGGAATGCATTTTCGTCTTCAAGGACACGCTTTCTGACTACGAGGAACCACCGTCCGATGAGGAGGTGAGCCTAAATTGTTTTTCTTTTTCTTTTTTTTAATCTTCTATTCAAACTATACAATTGCTGCTTGCTAGTTTGGATGATGAAAGTTTAGTTGGAACAATACTGAAAATGTTGGAAAGATATATGGTTTCGTTATTTATAAGAACAAAATTATGATGAATTATTACACACAGGTGATATGTATAATTGAACAATGAACATTATTATAGAACACATGCACATGTAATCAATAAAACATATGCATATGTGTTTTATAATAATAACTGTAGCTAGAAAGTAATGGTTTCTTTTAATAATTAGAGACCATAGTTGTGGTCAGGATTATAAAATAGGACAGAAATATTTTATTTATTCTTGGAGGATTCTATTGTTGTATCATTTCATTTAATAATATCGCAATATCATTAGGATGATCCAGTAATATTTAATAGAGAGGGATGAGGTGTCGAGTTTTTCCTTTTTCGACGCATATTTCTTACCCTCTTGAAGAACGTTAAGATAAAACGGCACTTGCACCGAGACACAATGTGCTCCATCGCGGCGACGTTTCTGAAAATATCCCATCCGTGGTCCGCGACGTTGTCCGCAAGAGAAATAGAGAAACTCTCTCTTTCTCTTTCTCTTTCTGTGTCTTTTATATAGGCTGTTTCAAAACATAGTTTAAAAATTGCTAGGAATAGTCGAGGAGGCCAAGGCAAACATTTTTTTGTCAGCCAGCATCCGGACATAATTTTCTTATCCCAATATTATGTAATCAAAAAATAGTTTGACTGATAAAGAAAACATTCACACTTATATTTGGGTACCTAAAAAAGAGACGCGTATTAAATTTTAAATAATTAGAGTAGTTAAACTTAATTATTGTGTCGCAGCTAGGAGAGAGAGAGAGAAATTATTTTGTAAATTATTAGAGATTATTTATTTTTCAAAATTAAAAACAGGATGTAGTATGTTAAATTGTTGTACACAGTACTATATTGTTGTACAAATAATAATTCATGGTGGTCGATATTTGATTTTTGTTTCTAGACGAAATGGAAAACATATTGAACAACTGTTGTGAGACAAGAAATATTATCCTTACCGGTCTTACTTGTTTTACTATTACTTCAGATCTATTTTGTGGTCGCATTAGTGTTTCCGGTCTTCTGATGTTGTTTGACAGAAAAAAATATTTGTTTTGGCCTCACTGACACCAACCCTTGACGGTTCCTCTACTGAATTTTGGAACAGCCAGTATACATGCGTAAATACATTGACATACACACAGACACATACACATGCAAATTCACAGTAAGAGCTTTCTATGTGAGTCATTTCGCTAGGCAAGTCCAAAAAGAAGAAGAAGAAGAATAAGAAGAAGGTGGTGAAGAAGAAAGATAGAAGGGAACGACGATACTCCCAGTCCAGGAAAGATAAGGAAAGAAAATTAGAGATCTGAGAGAGAGAGAAAGAGGGTGGGGCTAAGAAGAAGTCACGGTACACCGAGGCGAACGATCAATCACTTCGGAAGACGAGCGTGCTAGCCGCTCAGCCGCAAATAACTCGAGTTTTGTGCCGGTCAAAAGCTTCTCCTGGGACGTATTAGACTCGATTCACAGTTACTTACTACCAACGAAGAAGAGAACTTATTCCAACATAACTGATCATTTTCGATAAAATACCTACCCCATTCTCTCATTTTTCATCATCAATTCCTTCTTCTTTTTCTTTTTAAGAATCAGATGGTCCAAATGATATTTCAATGTTTACTCCAATTACCAGACAATACTTCATTTCCTTTCAATTTATTTTTGATTATATACTTAGGGGGTCTCTAGGAAGGGAAGAAGAAGGTACTAGTATTTGCTGATGGTATTGCTATTGGAATTGCCGTGGCATGGTTATAAACATTTTATAAATGGCCACCACGTGCTATACTCGTAAATGTATTTCACGCGAATCTTATCTTCACTCTCGTGTTCAGGAAATGGATTATATTTTATTTTCCTCTCCTTTTTTTTGCTGTTAAGGAAGGCGAGAAAGTGTGAGAGAGAAAGAGAGAAAGAAAGAGAGAAAGAAGGAGGTTTACCATGTTAATCATTTTCTAGGTGCCAAGTTGTACGCTTATGATTTGTATCAGGTCGAACAGGTGCCTTGTATAACTTATACACCCCTTTCTTCCCCCTTTATTTTGTCTCGCTATCTTCATCCATTTCTCGATAATAAAAGTTTTTTTCTTTTTTATTTTCAGTAGAAATTCATAGAATGCAACCTAATTTTCAGTACACTTGTAAATATATATGCACGTGTATTTTTATTTTATATAGGCGTACTTATAAAATAATAAATCCGATAGTTGAACGTTTCCAAAATACACGTACGCTATTGTCGAATGGACTTTTATACGTCCCTAAGTGTTGCTGCTTTTATAGCACAGACGACGTGTGTCGGGAAAGGTCGTTTCTAACAGGTGCAAATGTATTATTCCGTTTGGATTTCACTGGCACAAATAAACTTATTTACACATATACATATTGAAAGATGTACACGTATATATATGTTGAGATAATAGAACCGATGCAGCGTAGTAAAATCGAGATATTTATTGTCCTTCCGTCACGAGGGTTATAATAAGTAGAAATGTTAGGTTTATTACGCTTTACTGACTACTAAATAATCCTATCCCTTTTACTTGTTTGCGTGCGTATACACTTATACATATACACAATGGAAGTTACGCGCGTGTGCATTCGTCTCTCCACTACCATTCCAAGTCACTGTGCATCCACTAAAGCTCGAAATAAACCACAGTTGGAGCTGGCCTATGTCTCGTCTTCGTCGTCATAGTCGTCCTCTCTTCCTTGTCGGCAAATTCACTAGAGTCAGTCCGATCTATTTTGTTTAATGCCAATTTACATATTAAATTCATCTAATCGACCTATATTGTATATTCTTTTTATTTATTTTTTAATATTCCGATTGGAATATTAATTTGTTGTTTTCGTCAAAACGCGTTGATCTCGCTATTGATTTTAAAGATAATGATATATAAAAATATAATAATAAAACGTCGATCACACGGATGGTACACGTGGCACGTTAAACAAAAAAAAAAACACCCACCGAAATTTTAATTACGATTCGGATCGATACTCGCGATTAATATTACATTTGTATTTTTCTTTTCTTTCTTCTTTTCTCTTCTGTTAAATTTTTTTAAATAATTTTCTAGACATGTTCTAAATGATCGATAAAATTAATCAATCGGGTAAATGAATTATGCGACTTCAAAGTAACACGGTCGAGTGGTATATAAATATTCTCGACGAAGTTTTAAGTTTTAAAAATAAAAATAAAAAAAAAAAAGAAAAGAAAAAAAAAACTGGTAAGAGAATAATTTATTTTCTTTTTCTCTCTCTCTCTCTTTCTCTCTCTCTCTCTCTCTCTCTCTTTTCTTCTCCCAACCCCCAAAGAAAAATACTCATCTCTTTGGAAGATGATTCGTGACAAAAAGAAAGAAAAAAAAAAAGGAAGAAAGAAAGACAAGATATCGTACACGTGTCCGTCACCGTCGTCTATTACGTCGACGAGAAAAAATATGATGTATTAATATTTTTCAAATAGATGTATCGACACCGGCGCGTCTAGATATTTTTTTTCCCATGTTGTTTTATTTTATTTTATTTTATTTTATTTTTTGTTGTTATTTAAAATATATATTTAGTCCTTTTTTTCTCTCTCATCCTCTCCCTTTGGAGTCATGTTTCGGAAGGTGGAGCTGTAGGGGAG